CCATGACTTGAAGAAAAGTAAGCATCAAAAAAAGGGCCTACCAGAAACAAGTGTAACACCAATGAGTTTCAGCTGTAAAAGCACAAAAATGAAGTCTTCTGTTTTCCACTTTAGCTTTTCAATACAAAGCAAAGCATGTAAAAGTCATTAAGTCCAAGTGAAAGGAGTAGCAACTCCTTGTACAACTGGTATCCTTCACTCACTCTCACCAAATGACTCATCTAAAACCTGGTGGCAGTAGGGGAAGAAAGGTTACTGAAGGACATATTTTATGCAGTAAATGTGCATTTCTGAATAAAACTTGCTTCTAAAAAGATCGTGTTTTGAGGACCATATCTGCCAACTGGATATTTAAAAAAATCTTTTAACATTCAAAACTCACACATAATGGTTCTCACCTCCCTGCAAGCCTGGTTTAAGCCAGCCAAGGCATTTTGATGTGGTACCTACATTCATATCATGTAAACTCTGTATGTAGAAAATGTGGCATCAAAATAGACAAGCACTTCTCAACTTCAGATACTCCTATACTCCAAGTAGTGCACTGGAAGAAACAATATGTGCAGCCTAAGTGCCAGCAACTGTATGCAGCCCATTTAATGTCATAGAATCATAGAATGCTTAAGGTTGGAAGGGACCTCTAGAGGTCATCTAGTCCAACCCCCCTGCACACGCAGGGTCACCTAGAGCACGTGGCACAGGACTGCATCCAAGCGGGTTTTGAAGATCTCCAGAGAAGGAGACTCCACAACCTCTCTGGGCAACCTGTTCCAGTGCTCTGTCACTCTCACTGTTATGAAATTTTTCCTTAAGTTCCTGTGGAACTTTTGATGCATCAGTTTCCGGCTGTTTCTTCTAGTTCTGTCGGTGGCCATCTGTGAAAATTTTCATACAGAAAAAAATGAAAGTTTTCATACAGAAACTCTGATATATTGAAATTGTGAACAGAATCCCAGAGAGCCATTGTTTTTACGACAGAACCATCCTCCGTCTTCCAGTGTCCACCGCTGCCCTCTATGGTGTCAACTTTTTAATACTGCAAAACCTGAGTGCACAAGGGATTTGAAACTCCTCTGGAAAACAGTAACCCAGACACAGGTATTAATGACTGTTTTTACAGGTGCCAATACAATAACAGCTTACGATGCATCTTCACCTCCATATACCCCAAAGTTAATCTCACACAAGTTAATCAATGCCTTAAACTTTAATCAGAAAGTATTGAGAAAGAAGTTGCTGCAATATAATACAGATGAGCAACAACCTAACTCTGAAGTGGATAAGAGTGGTTCACAATTATTTGAAAAAATACGCAACAGCGTGGGATATGTAGACAGAGGAGAAAAAAAGAAAAAACAACCTCAAAAGATCAGTAACTCACCCTTAACTCTAGCTGCTAAACACTAGCAGTTTATCAACAACAGTTTAGCAATGACTCCTATTTTTTTAGTGGGAACTGCTGTTACCAAAGACAGAATGTAGTGTAAGGAAAAGAATCTCTCTGGGCTCTTACAGTCAGTGAGAGAAAAGGCTCTTCCAGAGAGCAACAGAGAACAGGAGCCCCTTTCCTTCTGCTTTTCCATCTGCCCAGATACAGATGATTCCCAGAGAGCAGCTTCTCTAAGGAATAGTCATCCTGCCCTTTTGGTTATTCTCCCTAAACCTCCAGTTCTAGAAAGCAGTTTGTTTTAACACACCATTGAAAAAAAAATACAGCATGATTCTTCCTCATCAGTAGTTAAAAAAAATATATCAGTCTTTCTTGTTACTAAGAAAAAAAATAAGAATAAGTGCAACTCAGATTTTTTTCAGCAACTTCCTACATAAACTTTGGGAAACAACAAACACATATCTTAAAAACAGCAATGTAAAACCCTATCTCATGAAGACATAAAACATCTTGTATGCTTTAGTCTCATGATCTGAAGCCACACTGAACCGGTGCGGTCCTTTCCTGTGCAGAGGTGATGGCTTCTTTCACTTGTGGGCATTAGGGAACCATTCAAGTCAAGAACCAAGTCAAAACACTGATGGGAGGTATAGAAACCAAGGTATCACTTTCCTTGCAAGCAGATGGCACCGCAGACTCAAGAAATCAGTGGACTTCTCCATCTGCTCTTCCCACATTTCATTCATTTCATTTCATTTCATTCATTCTCGCTGTCCTGATGCCAGAAGCAAATTCAAGAACTGTTCCATGCTGGGAAAGTCTCAGGTGGGCAGCCCTGCGCAGTCTTGGGCACAGAGCTTCAAGGCAGATACGGGCTAATGGAGGAGAGGCCAAGAAGCACCCTAAGGAAAACAAGCAAGCTGGGTCTATTCACCCTACAGAGAGTTTGGAGATGGGGCAGAGGGCACCCATATGGAAGTTAAGAAACTGGCTATGTTCAGTTAGCATACGTCAGAAAAGGAACAGGTAGGCCCCACCTTGAAGGCCCCGCCTTGAAGGAAAGACAGAAGGTCTCTTAAGATAAATTCAAGCCCTGTATTTTTCTGCGATTTGGAAATGGATCCTTCAAAATAGTAACAATGACTTTAGTTATCCTCAGAGGAAGACATCTCTGTAATAGGCCCACATTACAACCTGTCCTTTTCCCAGTCCATTATTAAAATTTATTCCCACTCTAAAAGACTCTTCACACTGTCACAGCAGCTTAAAGACACTTCACTGTCACTAAGAATCGAGCCCAAAATATCAATCAAGCTCTTTATTCATCTCTCTTGGATATAATAATCATTCTATAATGAAAGGACTATAGTTTTTAGGTTTTCATACAACAGAATAAACTATCATGGCTTTGAACAAAATAGAGTTTTAAAATAGAAGGTTATGACAGCATTAAAAAACATGCTTAACACGTCAGTAGAGTCTGAGCAGACAGTTCTTTAATAAGGCTGGACAGCGAGTTTAAGGAAAAAATGCTTCAGAGAAGTAAATGAATATTCTTTCCAGCAGAATGATTTCTTTGAAGACAAAAATCAGAATTATACAGGTCTCCCTACCTCCCCACCCTGGAAAGAATCACTTTGAAAGTAAAATATCTACCCAAAGCAATTAAGATGGGAAGCAGGAAGACAAAGAAAAAGAATACTCCAAGGGCCAAGCATGCAAAAATGAAAAAAACTATTCAGTCAAGGCATAATCACCAGATTTCCCCTGAATTATACTTATTTAATAAGAATATAAACGTGGGCAGCAGAAGAGGTCAGTGTGTTACTGAAAGAAAAAAACAGAGCTCTAAATGCTGCTGCTGTTTCACTGCTCCCTTTGTGTCTCCCCAGTCACGAAAGGGAATTGTGTGCTGCAGGTCAAACAGATTCCAGTTTAGATTCTGAGACGAAGTTGTGAAGGGCTCTGTAAGAATCTACTACAAAGGGACAAACGGAAGCAGATACAATAGCACTTAGTAGCAGACCCTTAGCAATGCCTGCCAGATTACAGTCAGGGTTTTAGCTAGTACCCATAAATCTAAGGCACTGAACTCATACAGGTGGCAAAGAAGAGAGTTTACATGAACCTTCACTTTACAGGACAGCCATCATCTCCCTTTTTGCTGCAGAGGACAGGAAGAAATGGAGCTTCTTCTGACCTTCATAAATCTAAGGCACTGAACTCAATACAAGTGGCAAAGAAGAGAGTTTACATGACAGCCATCATCTTCCTTTTCGCTGCAGGAAGAAATGGAGCTTCTTCTGACCTCCCCCATGTGTTTGCCATGAGAAAGAACAAAATATATGCTGAATTTTGCTGTACAAACAAAAAGAGTTCATAAGTCAGTAATTTCTATCAGGTATCTGCCTCTGCCATTTGTCCTCGAAGGTGACTTTATTCATTCATTTGCTTTTATTAAACTATTTATTTATGGATTTTTGCTCAAAGCAAGTAAAAATCTTAAAGACAGGCACAACAGATATATCCTTGGTAACCTCTGAATTAAACAGCTTTCCATGATTTCACTACAAAATATAAAGTGCAATATATTGTGTTCCTGCTTCAGTCCTATTTCCTTACTTAGAACGTATATTTATACACAACCTCTGCACTTGCCTTTGGCCATATATGAAATCTTGACACTAATTCAGAACTAATTTAGAAAAAAAAAAAAAAAAGAGGGGACCTCCGATTTTACTACCCATCTCACTTCATAAAGGAAGTAGATCTAAGGAAGTAGATCATGAGTCTAAAGTCTCATGAGATGACAGGAGAGGACATACTTTGTTTTAGTCCCTGGTGAGATACATCAGATGTTCCTTTAGTCAACCCTTGTGAGCGGCATAGCAAATATTTTTCAGAGGCCGCATGAAAGGTACTGCTCTGCATAAAATAAGGCAGATTTACAACAGCATTATAAGCAAGAGGAAAAAAAAAAAGACCAGTGAGTTTTGGGACAAAAAATCCACCAAATTTAGGCTACCTATTTGTTTGTAAAAGTTCTAACTTGGAATAACAACTAAAAGCAATGTGGAGTAGGAATTATATTGCATGCTGCTATACACTTAACTGCTTCTCTGCTACCTATTAGGCAAAATGAGATGATGGCAGAGAGTCCTCTGTTGTTTTTCTCCCCTTATAAAGAATAACAGTTTCATCAGTTTTCAGTGAACAAGCACATGTTTGGACCCAGTTCTAGATGATCTATTTGTTTCCACCAAATCAACCCTTTACACATGGCAGTAACTCTTGTCTTCTGAAGACTTCGGCAGGAGAGAGATTAAAAATAAATTATTAAAGAAACATCAGTCACCTTTTGAGAGAGGAAAACATTAAAATCTGAATGGTAATTACAAGTGGATTAGATTGGCCTTTTCTTGTGCATATGTTGCCTTCTAAAATATAAGTATTTTGCTCTCAGGTGTTTCGATTTTGTTCATTTCTACTATGTGGCAACAGCTTGTTAAAGCACCATGTACTTAACAGGCAGCTCCTTCGGTAATCAAATGGACCCTTTTCATCCATGCTTTACCCTCCTTAGGAAGGGATTTCTCGGTTATCAACCTACCTGTCGCGGCTTCCTTCTGTGATGTGGTAGAGATGATTGGCACCTCCATCAACACAAGCTCTGAAAGTGGCTGCAAGTTAAAACAACAGAGAATCAACGTACTGGCACAAGAATCAGTCCTACATTTATGCCATCCCTGACATTTCTGTGTAGAACTAGTGTCCACAGCAGAGTAAACTTGAGACTCTCATGGCTTTTAGCTTTCCATGCTTGTGTTTGTGTCTTCTTTTTGCAAATATCAGACTAGTACACTTTTCCTTCCAAATAGCTTATTTCTATTTATTCTGAGTTCTCAATTCAGCTTAAACTAAATAGGGACGGAGGATACTCAAAAACAGTAGAAAGATCATCCTCCACGTATCATCCTGCATGCACTTGTCTAAGCAAGATGGAAATTGCACCTTAGATCTAACAATTCTCTTGCACAGGCAACAAATTTGGAACAGAGGTTTTGCAATGTCTTGACAAAAACTGAAAGGAAATGTTAGATTTGACAGTCTCTGTTTCTTCTTTTTCCTTTTTTCCCCTCTTACAGTTACTGATGACTCTACTATTGCTCCTACTCTGCTCGAATCATCTGATATGAAGCCTGCCAAAGTTTTGGGGAGAAAAAGGTATGAATAATCAGATCAGATACTTCCTGCTGCTCAGAATCCAACCTTCAGCTACACCTGTTTCTCTTCACTGCTCACTTCTCAGCCAGGACTCCCCCCTCAACAGTGATACCAGGCCAGGAAGCCTGGCCTCCTTTCCTAGCTTAGCCAACAACCTCACCAGCCTACATAAACCCAACACAGCTGATCATTCTGCACCTCTACACCTACTCTCACCTTTTTAGCCACTCTTTCTGATGCACATACTGACATCTCAGCATGCAAACTAACACTTTGAGGTCGAGCAGATCTGACCCTGACAGATGTTGCTAGCGGAGATCTTTTCCTAGTCAGGGTAGCTGCCTAGTCACTCACAAGGCTACCTTGCTCCTTCGGTGGGTTGCCAGGTTTCTCACCCATCCCAATGAATATAAACACCACATGACATGAACATCCTTATCCCTGTGGCTGCCTAGAAACTTTCAGCTTCTCTCACTTGAGGTTACATAGGAAAATAGATTAATCCAATTCCTGTCACCTGGGGATATTTGCTAAGTTCTTTGGGAAAAATTAGCTCATACAGCAAGCTCCCTTTGCAAGGACAGAGTGTTAAGCCTGTCCTTAAATTAACTACCCTGACCGTAGCACCTGAGCAAGGACTAGCACCTACCCAATTATTGAAGCTCTTCTCTCCACTTCAGTTCAGCACCTGACATATGTTTTTAATAACCAAAATAATAAGAAGGCTGCAGAAAAAAAACTATTTTCTAACTTCAGGTACTGAACTTGTCTAACAGAGGCTTTCTCAGCCTAACAAAACCTTAGTTTTTACTTTATGAAAAACAAAACTAAGTGATTTCCACAACTCTTCTTCCAAGTTTTAAAGAAATAACAGGCTCTATAATTCACATAAAACATTTAACAAAGACAAAACCTTATCTATTGCAAATAACTCCATTGGACAATCCACAGTTTATGCCTGGCCCAATACTCTTAAGATAATCAGATTATTTTAAAAGTACAATGCCAAAATATAACAAAACCAAAACAAGCATGTACTGTGGAAAAAAAAATCATTTTTCATTCAGTCTAGTACGTGTAAAGTAGCGAGATTTTTATGACCTGACCTGATTTTTATGACCTTGACCTGAATAACAAGTCTCTGACTCTTGTATGCCATTCATACGGGGCAGCTATTTGATATCCCAAATCAAAATAGCTGCATTACATAACTGGAATTTAAAAATGTCCCCCACATTTATTCTTTCCACTTCAGCAGTGCTGCAAAATTATTTAGAAAAACTATTTATGAGGTACTGAAACTGATCCCACAAGTTAATAACTTAGACTCATATGAACCAAAGCCCCAGGTGCTTTAAGTAACCAGCATGTAATTAACTGATTGGCTGGAGGCCACTAAATCATATTATTTTTACGGTTATGAACCAAGCCATGCTTGATAAAAAGTAATGATATATATTAGCTAAAAGAACATATAACATTATTATCTGGAAGTGTTTATGGAGATAGTCGCAATGCTAAACTTAAAATTCAAATAGAAAATTCTCCATGAAAAGATAATAGGAACTGATTTCATACAGTACCTTCTATATTAGAGACCAAATTACTTTACAAACAACAATTTGGCCATGGCAGAGCAGGGTAACTGTACTGGCAAGTCTCTGGGCATTTCACAAAAGCTCACACAAAACCTCATTATTTATTACAGTAGAAAGCGAAGGACCCACTGAGCAGGACTGGGGCCTTGTTCTGCTTGGCACCACAGACGCAGCAAAACTTCTTCCCAAGACATTTACAGCTGAGGCAAAGTTATCCTTCAGGGTCACTGCAATGGTGGAAAGGGCTTGGGAAGGGAAGAACAACTTAAGTGGCCCGCCAAAACATGGAAGATGCCACACACACCTCTTCCGACGGCAAAAGTTACTGTCCCATTACTTATTCCCCTCAGATTTGCCAGGTGAGCTGCACGTAAGCAGCAATGCCAGTGTCAGCAATTTCTCTCCAAGCTGGAGTAGCAAGTGCCCATCCTGATAGCGTTTGAAATTACCCTATGAGTAAATACCCTTCAGTTCTATCTACGCCGAGGAAGATTTATGTCAAGAACACATTAGGCGCCCATGTTATCTCTCCAGTAAGTAATATGAACGAACAAATCCAGATCTTCTCAAGTTTCATTTTAAATTGTGTCCCTTTTAATAGGAACCAGTGAACTATTTACTTTTAATTTCAGACATGCAAAGGCCAACTTTAGGGGCATTAATGAATATGTCTTTACAAAAAAAAAAAAGAAGAAAAAAGAAAAAACACTATCCTATTGCAATAAAACTAATGAACCAATCTCCTTTAGTAAACAAATAAGTTCCTGTAACCTTGAACGAGGATACAAACAAGTCTTACCTCTAAATTAACTAGTCCAGAAGCTTTTTGTAGAGAGAGGCACTCATTTTGCCTGCACATGGCAGGCTAGGAAAAAGACTGTACAGAACATGTGCAACTCCTGTGGACAGACTGAGGCAACAGTATAAAAAGGTTGAAAGCCAGGAAATAAAAGGGAATATATATTTATCCAAAGCATTAACACCTGGAGAAGATAAGCCTAATTTCTATTATTCCTTGCATCTAGCTTTTTTTTTTTTTTTTCTCCAAACAGATCTTGTGATTACCCTGTGTTTTTGACCACATTCTAATTTATGACTTCTCCCCTAAAATTGCCTTATATTCTCACTGTTCTTTTTTCTGGTCTTATGTGACTTCTTCTAGCTATGCAATGTTCCCTCATCCATTTATTGATTCAGTAGCCTGGTAACCATAATTAACCTGCCAGCATCATCTACACATAGGAGAACCCTGCTTAATTAATGACTTGGCATGCTGGCAGTAATATGTAAGTGATAAGATACAGTAGGTACGCAAAGAATTGCTTGTTTTGCTTGATACATATGGCTCCAACCTTGTCTCAGCATTAATAAAAAAAAAAATCAGTTACCAGCAACAAAATGTATAATCGTTTTTTCCCCTTTGTCCTGCAGAAGCTGCTAAAATAGACTTTGCATAAGTCCAGAGCTTTGTAGGGCTGCAGATTGCTAGCTAGGGGATAGGTTTACATCTCAAATCATTCCCTCCCACATATGTGTGACTCTAGCATTATGTGATCCTGTAGTACTTTTTCGTAAGTAGTTCTTGGTTTCACTGGAAAACTAGCTGGAACGTATGCAACTCCTGTTGCACACCAAGTACAGCACTGTGCAAGTATCTCTACTCTGGCAACTCTTTCACTTTGTTTGGCAATTCACCTGTCAGTTCTCTGCTTTGCACTTGGACAGGGGTGGTGCTGCTAAAGGCTTTCTGACCATTTAAGAAAGGTCTGTTCTTAAGCTATTTTGTGTAAAGCTAAACACGCTTATGTCTTGTCTGTGGCATTTTACATTTGCAGGAGGGCAAGGGGTAACATGCTCTCAGAGATGGAGGCAAGTGAGCACCCATCTTTCCACTAGACTGAATTTCAGCACTGTCTTCAGGTACACTTCCACGCCGAGTTCATTACAATGATTCATATTCAAGGCTGCTGGGTTTGAAGCAATCGCTTGTCAGGTGTTAGATTTAATATTCCTCCAGTCCTCACTTAGCATACAATTTTCCCTTCCCTTCCCTGTCATTCTTCTCACATGCTGTCAAAACGGCAAGCTTCACAGCGTGCCGAGCATCCTTGCCCCGTTGCTGCCACAGGCTCCGCCAGCTACAACGATGGGAGCAGCCACCTGTTGCATCAGTGTCAAAACCTGGAGGAGAGGACCCAGACATCAAACCAAGTATTTGCTGCCATCACCTAGATGGAAGTCAAGGTGCCCTCTCATGACAAGCCCATGTGTCTTGCATGCCATCAGGGGCAGAAGCACAGAGGACTCTCTTAATTTCATCCTTTTTACAGTTTGTGTTTGAGACTGACAGCTAACCCAATAATGTAACCTGTTTAATCATCTCTTTTTTTTTTGCCATTAGCATACATGGATTATTATCAAGTAACAACAAAAACAGATTAGGACACCTAAATATTTGGAAAAAATACATTAGAGTGCACATTGTCCATTCTTTTCTTCTTGATAAGTTGTTGTTTTTCAATATCTTTAAAGAACTGTTTTGTCAAATCAAAGTTTCTCACATGTCATCAAACCACTGGGAGATAGGGATTTCAAATACACCTTAGAAATAGCTTTCTCCGGTGGAAGAGGAATCCAACACAACCTTAGGCTACATGCAAGTCAAAACTCCTGAATTTTCTGACTCAGATTGTGAGAGGCTTTACAGCTATACAACATGATGCCTCCTCCAAAGGGCAGGAGCCATCCAAGTCGTGACTTTTGTCAAAGATCCTGAGAACCATATTTGAGGTCAAAGACTGAAGCAATGCTCTGACAACACACTCAGCTCTGAGAAAAACAGAGCTAA